TGCTAAATGACTAAAACGTAAAATGTAAATGTAGAGCGAGACCCGGCCGCTATTGGCATTAACACAATAGTCAGGCCAACGGTTACCCATCAATGAAAAAGCAGTGTAAAATATAATATGCAGATGAACCGAGCCAACTAAGCCATTACTTTGAGTGAACGATCATAGCTATAACTTTGAAAGGCTTTCAACTAAGGCAGATGTTTTTTTTGATTAACGTTTTTAAATGAAAAATACAAATTTGTTAAATGGTTGTGAAATGGGCTAAAAATAGAAGGGAATGCATCCTAAGGGCTGAGGCATTGACAGAGTGATGGTGGAGTAGAGTATAGGCTGGCTGGGTGGGTGCCTGAGGCATCAGGGCATTGGACCACTGAGGATGGGAAGCAGCCTGGTCTCACTGGCCCAATCAGCCCATCTTCTCTGGATTACAGGAAGGTTTTACAGGGTAGCATGGCCAGTCAACCACTTATACAGTCAACTACTTATACAACTGACCCGTCTGGCACACCAGAGAATCCTTCCCTTTCCCCTGGGCCATCCAAAAATCACTAACCCTTTACAGTATTTCCCATTTTAATGTACTATATCTTTGAGGGAGTAAAAAAGTGTGAGAAAGTATTTGCGTGATTGGGTGTGTGTTGTGTGAAAGGCTGCCTGTCTCTAGTCTGTGTCCTGTCATTGAGCAACTATTCTACCCCCTCCCTCCTCTCTCTCCCCTCTCCTGTGCCTGCTATGTGAAACTGAGGGGGGTGAAGCCACCCCTTCCCCTGGTCCCACATGGTCCATGTTAAGGGATGTGAAAGCATTGAAACCCCGTAACAATAACCTTCTTCCTTTGAGCTGCAGGTCCTGCCGAGCCGAGGCCCTCTCTTAGCCTCCCTCCCACCATTCACTGGCAGTCATACTTCCACCCCCAGCCGCACTACACTATACTTGAGCCACGCATTGATGTGTCAATCCCTTCTTAGGCGTTTTTTTTCTTCAGCCTTCACTTTCATAACGCAACTCAAGACAAAAAAATGGATTCCCTCTTAATACTCCTAGTAAAAAGGCTGTATGAGGCAGCGCTTAGATTTTTAACGGCCGGGCTCTGGTCTCAATCATACAGTCCACAGTCAGTGGACATCTGGATCGCATCTCCCCGTTCTCCTCCATGCAATCAGACACACTAGAGCTATGGAGCTGATGCTGGGCTCTCCCTGCTGCTGCTCTCCACAATGTGGGTGCAACATGTCGTTATAGCACATTGCATTCTGAGAATGTTTTTAGGGGGGTGAAAGCTTCCGAGATTCCAAATAATGGTGCGTTCAAGGTAGGCCTAGTGCCAACAAACAGGCAGAGTGGAGTCATCGCCGTTCACCACCTTTCCCTACAAACTCCTTCCAGTCCCCAAGCGGCCCCATTCATTCATTCATTCCACACTGACTGAGAGGTCTCTAGAGGGCACTCCAGTTCAGCTGTACATAGGTCTGCCTGCTCTTGCTGTGGCAAAATGGCCGCCTACATAAAAGCCAAGGTGGTCATTATCTGAGACCGCAGGTCCACCGCGACGTGGAGTGGAATATAACAGTAATGCCCTCGCTCTACAGGTCAGACACATTTATAAACGGCTGGCACAGTCAGGAGAACCTAAATGGTTGTTAGACTCCAATTAACAAGCACACAAAAAAAGGCTAAACCTATTACTCCAGGGATAGGGAAAAAAAAAAGTATATATATATATATATATATATATATGATGAACTGTAGGTGGTGCTAAAGAAACGTGAGGAATTTTCACACTACATTTTTAACTAGACTGGCAGGGTGCGATGTGAGATCCACCACACACCACATGTTTGGCCTCCACAGAGGAATCAGTCACACCCCAGCTCCACAGTGGGGACACTCCGCTCCATTTAGCAGGGAACAAGCTGTGCTGAGACGTCACTAGCATCTGGAACCTGGAATACACCACTCAAATACACAGAGAGAGAAGAACGTCACACACCACACCACAAGGGCCAACTGGGGACCAGAGATGCACAGTGAGTGGTGGACCAGTAACATTTCCCAGGCCCCTCCAGCAGCATGGCCGGTGTGCTGTCTGCCTGCCTGCTCCTCCATCATTATCACAAGAGAGGGTTTCTATACGCGTGCCTTCTGCAATGATCGATCGCAACCCCACCTGCTAATTCTGCCACGCTTTAAAGGTACCGCTCAGGTACCACCTCACTTATCTCCATTCACTGCCCTTTTCCGAGACTTTAATCACTATTTTTGTACACTCAGAGCCTCAGACGGGTTGCTTTCCATCTTCCTACACGTCGTTTGGCCCCGTGTGTAGGGCCCTCTGGGACTGGGAGGCTCGTAAACGTGGGGAGGGGAGGTGGAGGTAGGGGGGTGAAAGGTCAAAGTGAAAGGAGCGTTTGGCCCTGCTCAGGGACACCCGAGGGTGGTGTGGTGGGGCTGTGAGGCCGGGCTGGGTCCTCCACCCCTCCTCTGGTTTATTTTCTCTGATGGGCTTGGTGTAAATATCCTTCTTTAAAGCCCTGGGAATGGGAATGCGTACAGTGCAGTCAGTCCCTCCACAGAGGTAGAGGTGGTGGGAGAGTAGAGCTGGATGGAGAGCGGGGGAGGAGAGACCCCCGGTGAGCCCCTCCAGCTGCCATGATGACATCACTCAGAGGAGAAGAAGAAGAGATGGGCCGCTGGGCGGCTGCCAGCTGTAGTGGTCTCTGATACTGCCTCGCACTCTCACCATCTGCCTGTTTATGTTTAATGGTTTGAATGTATGACATACGGATGCGTGTGTGGAGGAATGTATGTATTTGTTTACATGACTTCCCCTGTGTCTGACTAACACAATGATGGGCAGCATCCATATGTGTGTGTGAGAAAGTTTGAGAGAAAGCGAGAGAGTTAAATACACTAGGAACATCTCACCCTTCCAGGGTTATACAGTTTAAGCCCAGAACAGCCAACAGAGTTAAATGAGGCATTGGTCAGGGCTTACTGGGTTCCTGAGGGACTAATTGGGGTCCAAGGGGCTGGCTGCCTGTCTAGGGACCTGTTAGTTACTATGAGTTAATAAAGGGGTCTGGGGGCTGGCTGCCTGTCTAGGGACCTGTTAGTTACTATGAGTTAATAAAGGGGTCTGGGGTCTGGCCCTTCTCTCTTTCTTATTCATTCATTGAGTATAACGAGGCTGCATGCATTAGCTTTTCAAAGGCCAGTCTGCCTGCTACCCCGTCAAAACACACTGCCACTCTCTACCCGTCTCACTCTGGCCATTAACGACCACTAACACAGGACTCACAGCTGCTCCTTATACAGTAGGCCTCGTAAGGGGAACACCACACATCGTATAATATTGTGTTTCTATGGAACGCTGGCGATCTCCATCTGCTACAAGCAAAGAATAACACTCAATGGAATATGATGGGGGAGAAACAAAGTATTTTGTTGACATGAACAGGTGAGAGCCTTCCTGCCACGGTGGAGAGACTAGAGGCAGTTTAATGTGAGCAAGCTGTGCAGAACCAGAGATCACAGGTTACAACTGTACTGTATGTAGCGTGGCAAGACGCAATCCAGACAGACCTTTTCATTTCTTAGCAGTTGGCACTTACATTTATTTTTAATCAATCTAGCACCAAAGGGATCAAATACGCCCACATCCATATCATACCCATCACTAGTGTCTGATTATACTTATTTTCAAAGCGTCTTTGGGTTTTTGAAAATCCTATCAATTATTAATTTTGATAACCATTCTTTATTTTTCCTGGTCGAGGGGGTGTCTTGCCTGGCTGTGCACGGAATGTACAGGAATATACAGGAATGTACGATTGCATACCTGGGAGCATATGTGTGCATTCCCAAACATGCAATTATGAAAAGGCAACAAGAGTTTTTCTGGAAGCTTGATGCATAGTTACCGGATCCAAACAGATACAAATAATAATTTTTATAAAGTGTCCTTACACTGTAATTGTGGTGCCCGGTACACTTTAAAATGGATTTAAACAAGCAGGCTGGTACAGCCCAGAGGCGAGGCCCCAAGAGTGTTATCCTCTCCTTGTGTCCATGGCAACAATATTATCCGACATATCCGTACATCTTAAATACCTCTCTCCATTCAGGTAAATCTGTCTAAATACAGTGTGGATAGAACAGTGCCTAGGTTAGCCCCCAGGGTACAAAATAATACTGTCTACTACACAGGCCAGGGTAGGTAAAACACACTGGCTGCTTTACAGGAATTTCCAACAATGTGCTTCGTCATTATGAAAAATAATACTGTCTACTGTCTGGGGTTTTATATGAATTGACAAAATAACTTTAAAAAGCAGTGGTTATGGCATGGTAAAGAGGTGGACTGTAAAAAAAAGACCTGTGAGTGAACCTCACAAGATCTGATATGCTGCATAACAGTGGGCTTAACCTGTCCAAACAGATCTTGATTGGAGGAAGGGATGGGTTGTTGTGTGACAGGTCACATGCATCCCCTCTGATCCTTACTTTCATGGGTGACTAGGAATCATCGGCACAAACTAACTACAGTACAGTAAACTAGAGAACACACACACGTTGTCCTTATTTGGCTCTTCTTATGACCAGGATCACCATGAGCTCTCCAGTCGTTGAACTTTAGAGTTTCTCTACTCTACCGCAAAATCGTTGGGTACTAGGAATCCTTCGCATCCATCACCTGGTTACAGTACACTTAGCTAATGTCATTATTTGGCCCCTGTAAGCCCTTTCTTATGACCAGGATCACGGTATATCATCTCCCCAGGTCTATTATTATTATCATCATTATATAACGGAGTTTAACTCTATTGGACCACAAAATGGTAGGGCATGACATAGTCATGATAGTGCAGCAGTACTGACGTGGTGGATAATCATCACAAAGGAAATTCAACCTGTTTTATAATCATATACAGTAACAATTAAAACATTTGTATCTACCAAAAAAAGAAGACAAATAAAATAAACAGAGTACAGGGTCCTTACTCTCTCTCCTTCTCACTGAGCTTGTCTGTGATGGTGTCCTTGATGGAGGAGCGGGAGCCTTTGTGGATGACAGGATACCTGAGAGGGATCTGCAGGAAGCAGCTGATCATCAGCACCAAGTGGGCCGTGTAACCCAGGGCAACCGCAACGCTCCCATCATCCTTCGCTGCAGGACAAAACACAACACATAGGTCAGTCAGTCTCTGTTGGACAGGTTTACTGTGAAATAGTCTCAGAGGTTTTATACAGTATGAAACATTGTTGAATGGATCTGATATGAAATGCCATGCCTGTTAATCACTTCAATGGCTTTGTTTTAATGGGCTATTACTCCAATACATTTTAATGCTACGACTAGAAACTAAAGTTGGTCAAAATGGCAATAACAAGCTAAGCAGTCTCAGTGTTTCATAATTTTTTCAATGCTTCATGAAGCTCCACTTGAAAGGAAGTGGTCAGCAACGCTCTGACTGCAATACTAATGTATTTCATACGTGTTTCATATAAATTCATTACATTGAAATGAAAGATCAAATCGTAACGTGGTAATATAATTGGTACGTGGTAATATAATAGACATCACAAACTGGAAAACACTTTGGTAACCAAGTAATCACATGGATGAAAAGCAGTCACATTTATGTGGGCAAAGTGTTTTGAAAATGATACAGAGTGTGTTTTTGGCGACGCAACACGCAGGAAAACTTCAACTGCTGTAGAATACCTAATTTACTTAAAAATACCTAATTTATTTCAGAAATGTGCGTGAAAAGCAAAAGCATCACGTAAAACTATCCCTGCGGGGCTTAATTACATTTTAGGGGAAAATTAGACGGTTACGGTTTCATTAACATTTCTGACTAGAAAACAGGCCCACCACCTCGCTGAAGTAAAGGAACTGCTTTCTTTGACAGCACATTAAGTTGTTTCAAGTTCTCAACTGCCGAGCAACAGGACATTGCTCCAGGCGAAGCGCTTATGCTTTCCAAATCCCCAAATCATAGTGCTTTTGTCTTAATACTTTGGAATAACAGACCGCGGCCTCCGTGAATCGTAGACTAGGAGCGCTTTGGTGTATAACTAGAAGACCCTGAATTATATAATTCTTGTGTCTGCACCTCTGACACCAGCAGAGGCCATGAAGCTGACTACCTTTTAGAATGCCAATACGTTCCATAAAACTAGTTCTATCCAACAGGAATGTCAGATAAAGGAATCATAAGTCTAACTGAAATGTACTGGGGCAACTGGAGAACCTTTTAAATCCAAAGTCAGGTAGCCTCAGATGAGGGCTTAGTTACCTCCGAGAGAGAGAAAGCACTGGGGGCCTTGTTTCCACCCCATGACCCCCTTCTTCTTAGCAGAATGTCCCCTCTACCCTCACCTTCTCCAGCCTCCCCTCCCTTCTCCTCTACCGTCTCCTCCAGTATCTCATCCAACCTATCCCCTCTCTTCTCTCCCCTCACCTTATCCAGCCTCTCCCATCTCTCGTTTTCTGTCCCCAGTCTCCTCCAACGTCACCCCTCTACCTTCTCCCCTCAGTCTCCCCAGGCAGGGCTGGTTGGATTAGGCTGTGCAGCCCTGACCCCGGTGGCTCACTAATCTACAACATCCTACCCTGCAGGCAGCCCTCTCCTGTCTGTCACCCAGCAACAACACAGTTCCAGACATGATCGGCTTAATACTGGGCTGGCTCTGCTCTCAGGGAGGGCCCACAGAAATCAGAGCAGGGGAGAAGTGTCAAAGGTCAGGCCTCCATGATGGGGTAGTTTCAGCCTGGGGTACTGTATAGGTGTAGGCAGCCTCCCGAGTGGTGCAGTGGTCTAAGGCACTGCATCGCAGTGCTAGCTGTGCCACTAGAGATTCTGGTTCGAATCCAGGCTCTGTCGAATCCGGGCGTGACCGGGAGACCCATGGGGCTAATAACGTATGCACTCACTAACTAAGTCGCTCTGGATAAGAGCGTCTGCTAAATGACTAAAATGTAAAAGTAAAAAATGTAGTGGTTAAAGTGGTGTTAGACAGGAACGTCTGACCAGGTAGACCATCCTTCTCACCTCCTGTAGGCCTCTGTCCCTCTCACTCTCTGTTCTCCTACACAGCCATGCCACATGCACCACACCACACTCCCTCAAGGCTGAGAGGGAAGGGAGGACAGGACAGGCCGGAGGGGGGTTGTGAGTGGGTTAGGATGCCCCCTGTAGGCCTCACCATCTCCTACAGCAATGCCACACCACATGCTGCGTGGTTTACTCACTAGATATCCACCACCCCCGCGGGACTCGGAGGGCGAGGCAGCCGCACACCTCTACAGGAGATGGGAAGCCACTCACCGCTGCAAACACAAACAACGAGCCGTCACGTCAGCACGGGGATGAGGGGAAGGCTGCTGCATCCAAGGAAAGGGGTCTGGAGATCGAGGCAGCGTTTGGGTGGGTCGGGGGATAGCAATGGAGGGGTATTAAAGAAGCCACACAGGCGAAACCTGGCTCCCATTAGTCCCCATACCTCAACTCCACTTCCCCCTGTCTTTGAAGTCGTGCTTCCCTGGCTGAGAAAGCCAAATCAGATTTTCCACAACACATACGGGTGCGACATGGAGGGAATTAGATTAATAACACTTTCCAAATGTAAGCCCCTCTTGAATTATATCATCTTATTCAGACCTCTGCCGTGTAAACGCACACACACACACAACGCGAAATCCTCATCTGCTGCCTTTGAACACACCCACAGTAAATGAGACAGACTTCTGACATACAGTACTTTGCAGATGATACTATTCAGCATGCATACATATGCAGAAATGGTGGGCTGAACTAACAGACCAGCAGAGTGGTGTGACAAACTCAGAATGTCCCTTTTTCAGTCTCATCCATTCACTACCTCCCAGTCCCTCTCACCCATGGGTCTGGTCCTTATAAAGTAGCTAGGCAGCAGAAACCACAGACTCCAGAGGTCAAATACACAGGAAGCAATTTCCACATTCTTGGATGATGGGGAGCACTCTGTAGGTCCTGGACCAGCTTCCATTAACAAAAGGTTGCTACCAGGGAGTATGGTGAAACCTTTCTGGTGTAACTACTGACTCTGTATCAAGGTATTTAATCTAGCCCATACACTGTCTTACACAGAGTTTCCTCCACCAGCCACTACTTATAAAACACTCATTGTACCTCAGAGCAGATATTATTCTGCGTCCCAACTTGCACTCTTTTCCCATTCCCTATATAGTGCCCATAAAAATGGTACTGCACTATATATAGGGAATAGGGTGCCATTTGGGACTCAACCATAGTGTCTCTATTACAGGAGAGGATTAGAGCATCTGCTTAGACGGATCCATGGAACCTCTGAGATGGAGTACTGGCTCACACTTATTATATGTAGATGGTGATGTAGAACCAAAAGAGAGGTCAGTTTGAACCTTCAATAAAAGGAAGCAGATGCCCCCTGTTTTATGCGTGTCTCTGTGTCACTCCAAACCCTTCCGTTTCCCGTTGAAATAGATACGTTACCTTGGAAATCCTCAGAGTTGGGCAGCTTCACTCCACAGATGACATAATCGGACTGATTAGCCTGCAGGGAAATTAAACGAGTTTTATGAGGATGAGAATCCAAGAAGCAACAATACCATATTCAGAAAACAAGAGAGAAAACATAGAGAGGAAAGGGAAAAGCTTCGGGAGCAAAGAGGACTCTCTCCTTAGAAATGGTATTTTAATGACCACTGAGTATTTAAGCTGTTCAGCTCCGTCGCAGAACATTTCAGATTGAAACTTTAAATGATTTCAAAACACAGGGAATGTAAGTGGTTGGCCACTCCAAAGAGTCCAAAGGGCTGAGAAAGCATTTCTTCTCAAGCTTTTCTCTTCTCTCACTCAAGGCTTTCTCTCTTGTTCTCCATAGTTGTCATGCCATAGAGCTGACTACAGCCCATACTGTGTAGTATATGGGACTAGGCTAATTTCTAGTGTGACACCAGACATGACTGTAGGAGGAATGTGTGTGTCTGTGTCTGTGTGTGTGTGTGTGTGTGTGTGTGTGTGTGTGTGTGTGTGTGTGTGTGTGTGTGTGTGTGTGTGTGCTACTCAGGAGGAGGTTACTCACGGGTGTGGTGACCACGTCGATGGGGTAGATGTAGGAGAGCTCAGAGAGGAGCTGACGACAGCGGAAGGTGAGCTGAGCATTGGACTTGAGAAACAGTTCTCTGGGGAGACAGACACAGAGACCGTCACACAGTCACTTGATGACTCAGTCAGACTCACTGAGCAACACAAAGAGGACAGTAACAGAGGAGGAGGAAGAGAACAGAGGGAGGACTGGAGACAGGGATATAGAGAGGCAGGAGGATAGAAAGGGGGAAATGACGGAAAACGGGTGTAAGGGAGAGATGAGGAGGTGACGAAGAGGAGAAAGGGGGGATAGCGAGAGAGACCGGGGGAAGGCACTCTACAGTACCGTAATATACACTGAGTGTACAAAACATTAGGAACACCTGCTCTTTCCATGACATAGACTGACCAGGTGAATCCAGGTGAAAGCTATGATCCCTTATTAATGTCACTTGTTAAATCCACTTCAATCAGTATACATGAAGGGGAGGAGACGGGTTCATTATGGATTTTTAAGCCTTGAGACAATTGAGACATGGATTGCGTACAGTATGTGTGCCATTCAGAGGGTTCCTAGGCAAGACAAAAGATTGAAGTGCCTTTGAACGGGGTATGGTAGTAGGTGCCAGGCGCACCGGTTTGAGAGTGTCAGGAACCGCAACGCTGCTGGGTTTTTCACGCTCAACAGTTTCCTGTGTGTATCAAAAAAGGACATCCAGCCAACTTGACACAACTGTGGGAAGAATTGGAGTCAACATGGGCCAGCATCCCTGTGGAACGCTTTCGACACCTTGTAGAGTCCATGGAAGGTGTTCTTAATATTTGGTATACTCAGTGTATATGAATAACAGGTGAGAGAAAAATAACAATAGAGGGGATGGGGAAAGACGTGAGGCGAGACCTGACATCTCAGCTGGAGAGAGAGAGAGAGAGAGAGAGAGAGAGCGAGAGAGAGAGAGAGAGAGAGAGAGAGAGAGAGAAAATAAGGGTGTAGGTAGGGTGTACGTTAGTAATGAGGGGTGACGGTGCGTTAATGGGAGACTGAGGTTGAAGAGAACAGCAAGGGTGTGTATGTCTTGGCCCAGGCCTGGATGAGAGAGACCTAATGGCTCAGCTCTGAATCATCTCCACAGTAATTGTAAGAGCAACTCAATTATCATAACTGCCTAATTAAATCATGGGTCCCCCCCCCCCGGGACAGGTCCAAAAATCACCACAGGCCCCTTAGACCAGCTCTGAGCTGTTCCATTAGCAGACTTGGCGGGGGGGACAACCAATGAGCCTGACCTGCCTAGGTGAGAAGGGGAAACGTCTGGAATAATGTTTGCTTTCTTATGTCCACCTCTTGACGGCTACTGGAGTCTGACTTCAGACAAGTCAGAGAACTCAAAAGTGTGTGTGTGTGTGTGTGTGTGGTTGTGTGTTATATATACACAGTATGGCCTATGTGTACATTGTGTGTGCACATGTTTGACTATGTGTGCGTGTCCCATTCAACAATTTAAACCAGCACTTGGGGAGTACAGTTTTGTGGATAATGGCCCATCAATTCAGACAGATGAAAAGGTGTTGGGGAGAAAATGATCATTGGATATGAACAGCCTTTCCTCCATGCTCCTCGCCCCCTCCATTCTGCTCTGCCTTTGGTCGGCTGCCTGCCTTGGCCCTTACCATTATACAGTTGAAAATCTCTGGTCTTACTGTGGTGGCTTTGTAGGCTCAGAAGATCCAGATGATTACCATGTCAATCATTTGATCTGACCCTTCCTTCATAGAAACCGCCATAGAAACCTCACATCTCAGTACAGCAGGCTTTCTCTTATCTGTTCTGGTTAAGCCCAGATGCAAGACAATCCCCACATCAAACCCACACCATCAAAGGCAGACACATTTACAGGAACCTGGTTATTACATGAACTCAGCAACTCTCCCTAACAAATACTTTTTTTTCACCCAATGAACTTTAAATACACTTTTTTTCCAGGAGTGGATGTTAGGCAGATGCATGAATGTCAAAGTAAATTTCCCTGGTTACATGATGCGTTGGTGGGTTTCTCTGCCCGGCCAGCTATAGCTAGTGTGTATACTGTAGCAGTGCTGTGCTGTGCTGTTGCTTCTGCTCTGCCTTGACCCCATCACTGCCAGGTACCCAGCCAAACTAACTCTGTATCCAGGGTGCACCCCTGCAGGCCAAGACAAACACATCAGACTGGTCTTTGACACAATCTGCTTACTCTCTCTCAGGCTAAAACTACAAATAGGCAGCACCGAGCCAACACCCCTCTTTGTAAGCAGAATGTAATCTCTCCACAGGATTTAGAACAATTGACAGCATATTTGAACACACCATTCTGTGGGGTCTGGGTAATTTCTAGCAGATGGCGTAGAGAACCAACGGGATGGAGCGTGTGTGTGTGTGCGCGTGAATAAATAAATGCTTCAATTACAGGTTGACACGTACCTTTTGGCAGTGCATTCTTTCTGCTGCTCTGTTAACGACTCCCTCTCCATCCCCAGACTCTGGTGTTTGGTGGAGAATGCTTCCTCTAGGGAGAGATAAGGGGGGATGAGAGAGAGAGAGAGAGAGAGAGAGAGAGAGAGAGAGAGAGAGAGAGAGAGAGAGAGAGAGAGAGAGAGAGAGAGAGAGAGAGAGAGAGAGAGAGAGAGAGAGAGAGAGAGAGAGAGAGAGAGAGAGAGAGAGAGAGAATGAGGTGGTAAATTACCAGGTGTGTTCTGTCCTGGTAAATTTACACAGGTGTCTGGGCGTGTTTCTTGGTCTAATGCCAACCACATTAAACACTGGTAACATCACACGGTTACATTGATCAGGGGGAAAAAACTTTTCCTTCCGACACACACCACATAAAACCACTACACATGAATAATGATGGCAGGATTTGTTTGACTTTTGAAGTCAAATGAAGTCAAATAAATAGAAGCATTTAGATAAGGAAGTGTGATTACAAATTTAAACACTGATACGGATGTAGCTAGGCATATTAAAACCACAGTTCCAATTCTGCACCTGGAACAATGTACGATGGGACAAAGAGTTTTTGACTAAATGAACAAACATTGTTTTGTGTGTTAATAGAAAACACTTGACTTTGGTACAGTATGTTCAGTAACACATTCAAAAGGCATAAACATCTTTACCTGAACAAATATGGCCCAAGATCTGGCTATCAGGCATCAATACCAACCCCAACTTCCTCCCAACCATCCCATCTCATGTACCTCGCTGTTGACAAGCTGAATAGAGAACAGATAGAGTGGCTCCAATACACACTCGTCTTTACACACAATTTAAAACCCAGCTGGTTTAACTGAACTTCTCTTCCACTGCATGTTACCTGTCAAAGCTGGTCTGCCCAGACAGGAAGACCAAAGTAGGAGTGGAGGGGAGGATAGAGGGGGGGTGCAAGGAGGAAGAGAGAAGGGTAGGTTCGGGTGCCAGGGCCAAATCTTCATCAGATTAGGGATGACGAGAAAGATACTGTTTGGGACTGGGCAGATTAGTCAGCCCTTCTGGTTTAAACCATGTCTCGAAAACAGCGTTCAAAAGGTTGGGTCCCCCTTCACCTGCATAGGCCCTGAGCTCACCCTGGCTTTTATGTAACCGCCACTACTAACCCCCCCTCCCTCCATCCCCGTCGCATCAAAGCCTCTGCCGCCAAACTAAAACAAATGGAGACACGTGTGTGTGTGTGTGTGTGTGTGTGTAAAAACATGTGTGAGTGTGTGTGTGTGTGTGTGTGTGTGTGTGTGTGTGTGTGTGTGTGTGTGTGTGTGTGTGTGTGTGTGTGTGGAAGGCTACGCTGCAGTGCCATGTTTGGCTACGTCACACAGCTTTAGAGATGTTATTCTTTCATCGCCCTCCAATGTTGTTGTGTTCTCTCCTCAGAGACAAAATAATCATATCCACCTTCACTACCTCCATGTCATGAGTGGAAAAACGGCCACACGCCCTCGTATAAAGAGCTACCTCTTTCCAGCTCAGTAGAAAGGAAAGCGAAATAGAGAGTGAGAGAGGAGAGGGAGAGAGAGAAAAGAGAGAAAGTGGAAGGGAGGGAGAGCAAAGGAAAGCTGGAGGTAGAAGGGGATAAAAACATGAAACAAGGACAGGGTGTGTTACTGTGTAACGATGGAGGAAGTGACTGTCCTGTGACCCGTGTTGGTTAGAGACAGAAAGCCATGAAACATCATAGGATGTCTGCCCTTTAATAAGACCTCCTTTCCTTTTCTTTCCCTTTTCTAGGGCCCTGCGATGTTCTCTCCATCCTGCTCTCCTCTCTTCTGTCCTGATGAAAGGCCTGAGAAGAACATCTTGTTCTCCAACACTCTCCGTGTGGGAGAACAAAGAGGGTAGAGGGAGAAAGAAAATGAATGACAGTGAGAAAGGTCTCTCTAGTTGTTCCTATTATAACTCCTCTAGGCCCATGTCCAGACCAGTAATACCACTCTATCACTCATTAGTAAGACAGTCTCCCTCTCTCGCCCTCACTCACTCACGGCCACTATGCAGCTGAGGGAACTGGTGACTGTGGGTGTAATGGTGATAGGTTTAATGTGGGGACAAGAGTGCTGAGCTGTCCAGTGTGTTGATGTGATAGATACCCCCACATCTCTCGCCACTTTATAAACCCTGACTCTTAACTCTAGGTAACTAACTCCGCCACTGACGTTTATTGGCCTTCATTCGCCTCGGTGCCGTGGCAGTTAATAAGTGCCGTGGCACTGTTAATAACCACGATAAAGACTTTTTACTGTCCTAATTTATAACGTCTGCTCAAGGTGGTAGAGGGGAATATTAGGCGAGAGGAAATTGTGACAAGAAAAAAGCGAACCAGAGGAAGAGTAGTGTTGACGCCATGACTGTACATTAAGCAGAAGGCTGTGGGGGTTAAGGTTAAAATAATGCTCCGTCTTCTCTGGGCTTTGTCTCGGTGAAGAATCACAGCTCTCCTCAGTCCTCTTACACATGCATACACAAACACAGGCATTCACACGCATACGCATGCACACAAACACACACAGGGATGCAGTCCACCATCATAGCAAATCAGCGGCCATTGTACAGCCAGTCGTTAACCTGTCATCAAGATGATCACTGGCCCTGGTGCTGTCCTATCAGCTGGAAGTTCACACACTGTCAGGGGTGGCTAAGTGTAGCACTCACACACACACACACACACACACACACACACACACACACACACACAAACACACACACACACACACACACACACACACACAGAGAGAGCCTGCGGGCGTCTGCCAGCTTCATAGCATTCCTCACATGCCTGCACCCTCACACAAACACCCCTGTAGGTGCTGTATATTTGGGTTTGACCCCCATTTGTTTTTACAGTAAAGGGGATCGTCTGAAAAACAGTCATTTCACAGAAAGGAATGAGGACCGGAAACAGACAGAGCAAATGTGATATGATCCTAAAGGCTGCATTCCCAGACTGTGTTTCAGTAAAGCTCAATGTGATCTAGCCACGTGGGCAGCATGGGGGGGACGTGGGAAGAGATCAGAGACTCTGGCCCTCGTTGTTCACTGAGGTGAGTCAGGTGACCAGGTCTCTTGCTGTAGAAACCATACATACCTAACCTGATCTTGTCCACTACCAGGTACTTTTCCTTCTCTCTTTAAATAAACACACGTCCTCTCTTCACAAATGACATTCTTAATCTGAGCCTGCAAGAATTCCATCCAGCAGTGGTCTGAGTGGTGACAGAGGATTAAGGGCCATTTGTCAGGACGGGGACACAAAGACAACCTTACCCTGACCCCTCCTAGTAGTGTGTGTGTGTGTGTGTGTGTGTGTGTGTGTGTGTGTGTGTGTGTGTGTGTGTGTGTGTGTGTGTGTGTGTGTGTGTGTGTGTGTGGCCTACTGTGTGTGGCCTACTGTGTGTGAGCCTGGAGGGTATGAACACAGTGTGTGCAGGGATGATGGGCTGCAGTGCGGATGATGGTCTGCAGTGCAGACAACCAGTCAAATCATTAACAGAAGTCATCTTAGGGAGAACCAAGCCAGCATGGCGTCCTGCGCCTTGGCCAAACACAAAACCTGGATCCATCACAGCCTTAGTCCCCCCCAGTCCTCTTTGAACACACCCTACCATACCCTGCTGTTAACCAACACTGCCCACCCCACACTGCTGTTAAACAAATACACTAACAGACTGGTCAGAGAAAACAGGAGAGGTAGAAGGAGGGAGGGAGACGGAGAGCGGAAGACAGAGAGAGGGAGACGGATGGGTCTGTCAGAAGCGAAAGCTTTGAAAATCACTCGGACACAAGGAGTGGAGGGTCAACCTGATCTGGTCCCAGGTCCATCCGAGACATGACCTCTCAAAACGACTGGAAGCTCATTTGATGTGCCTTCCCTGTTTGCTCATATTCCTCCTATGACTAGCGGGTGCCATTTTTTATGAAAGGTTGATAACACACCTCACAGTCACAGAATGAATGAATGCCTATACTACGTACAGGACAGCTGTGTAAGTACTTAAAAGATGTGATTCACTAGTTTTAATGATCTAAGCCACCTGTATCTGGGCCAAGACATTAATATCAATGCCATACAAGTATGTATGTACTGTACTGTATGATCTATTACGTGTGCATGTGCATGCACATGTGTGAACCTGTCTGTAAGTGCCCATCACGGTGGGTGTTGACTATGAACTCTGCTAGGTTTTTTATTTCCCTGCGGACATAACGGATATGCAGCAGTAAACTTGCCAGTAAAACAAACCCACCCATCCCAGACATGATAGAGCCAGCAGTTATTCTGTTATTGAACCCATATAATTGACTCAACGACTTTACCGGCCCTGGAAGGACAATCTGGCTGGCCGACACAGAAAAGTCTCTGTCTGAGAGTGTCGCACAGCCAGGGGAAAAACTGTCACTAGTGGAGTGACTCAGAGACTCCAGCCAGTCAACAGTGAAAGAGGTTTCCTGTGTGTGAGATGTTGTACTGTACTCTAGTGTACTGTAATGGTCTGGAGTGGAACATGCAGTAAAATACAGTAGTCCAAGAACGGCAGTTGGCTGACCGTCAGTATACCAGTCTCGTAGGCTGTGTCAAAGGTAGTGCACTATATAGGGAATACTAGGGTGCCGTTTAGGACAACCCCAGTGTAAGGTACATATTAGGAGTACAATCTCATATGGACCCCAGTCCCCACAATGTCTGCTATTTGAAATTGTAATATCTCGTGGCTTGGAAATCCCAGTCTATTGTGTCTGTAACTCCAAATACCCTTTACCTTTCTTCTGAAGCTGTGCTCTCTCCTTCTGCCGCAGGTCTGTCTCCCGGCCCAGCACTTTCCTCTGTCTCTCCAGCTCACCTCGTAGTATCCCTAGACGCAGCTGCATACACTCCCGCGCCTTCTTCTGCAGAGAGAGAGAGAGCAAAGAAAGGAGAGAGAGAGAGAGAGAGAGAGAGAGAGAGAGAGAGAGAGAGAGAGAGAGAGAGAGAGAGAGAGAGAGAGAGAGAGAGAGAGAGAGAAAGGTGGAGAGGAGAAAATGAAGAATAAACAGAGAGAGTGTGAGAAAGAAAGAAAAAGAAAGAGAATACTTTTCACCACAGTAAGTGCTTTTCATTATTCCAGCTCACCACCATATCCCCATTAGGTCCCTCAGAACAAGACACACAATCTAGGGCCAATCCCATTACAAACTAATTCAATACGCCTCTCCTAACCCAAAAGACACTGACTGTCAATACTGGATGGATGAAGACAATTGGGGCCTCAAACAAGCTCTTTCGAAAGAACCCCTCCAAAAGCCCTCACGAGAGGAATTGGAGATCCTCATGCAGAGGGCAAAAGTGAGTTAACCCCTTCATGTCCATAACGGAAATTTATAATTTCCTTTGGTACACTTGTTCTCTGAGCTTACTGATTGACAAATCAGAATAAATACTTTTTTAATTGGCCAAAGTGTTTCTCTACAATGAGAGTTTTTGATATTGTACTATATTTAGTCTTTGGACACATTTCAGGAATCAAGTCATGTGAATACATGTTCAAATTATCAGATCTTAATAATATTTGGTATATACACAAAAGTATGTGGACACCCCTTCAAATTAGTGGATTCGGCTATTTCAGCCACATCCGTTGCTGACAGGTGTATAAAATCGAGCACACAGACATGCAATCTCCATTGACAAACATTGGCAGTAGAATGGCCTTACTGTAGAGCTTAGTGACTTTCAACTTGGCACCGTCATAGGATGCCACCTTTCCAACAAGTCAGTTTGTCAAATTTCTGCCCTGCTAGAGCTGCCCCGGTCAACTGTAAGTGCTGTTATTGTGAAGTGGAAACGTCTAGGAGAAACAACGGCTCAGACGCGAAGTTTTAGGCCACACAAGCTCACAGAACGGGACCGCAGAGTGCTGAAGCGCGTAAAAACCGTCTGTCCTCGATTGCAACACTCACTACCGAGTTCCAAACTGCCACTAGAAGCAATGTCAGCACAAGAACTGTTCGTCTGGAGCTTGATGAAATGGGTTTCCATGGCCAAGCAGCCGCACACAAGCCTAAGATCACCACGCGCAATGCCAAGTGTCGGCTGGAGCGGTGTAAAGCTTGCCGCCATTGGACTCTGTAGCAGTGGCAAAGCGTTCTCTGGAGTGCTGAATCACACTTCACCATCTGGCAGTCCGACGGACGAATCTGGGTTTGGCGGATGCCAGGAGAATGCTACCTGTCCCAATGCATAGTGTCAACTGTAAAGTTTGGCAGAGGAGGAATAATGGCCTGGGGCTGTTTTTCATGGTTCGTGCTACGCCACCTAGTTCCAGTGTAGGGAAATCTTAACGCTACAGCATACAATGACATTCTAGCGATTCTGTGCTTCCAACTTTGTGGCGACAGTTTGGGGAAGGCCCTTTCCTGTTTCAGCATGACAATGCCCCCGTGCACAAAGTGAGGTCCATACAGAAATAGTTTGTTGAGATCGGTGTGTAAGAACTTGACTGGCCAGCACAGAGCCCTGACCTCAACCCCATCAAACACCTTTGAGATTAATTGGAACGCCGACTGCGAACCAGGCCTAATTGCCCAACATCAGTGCCCGACCTCACTAATGCTCTTGTGGCTGAATGGAAGACCCTGCAGCAATGTTCCAACATCTAGTGGAAAGCCTTCCCAGAAGAGTGGAGGCTGTTATAGCAGCAAAAGGGGGACCAACTCCATATTAATACCCATGATTTTGGAATGAGATGTTTGACGATATATATACACACACACACACACACACACACACACACACACACACACTGGTACTGCATACACACACTACATATATATATACACACTACATGACCAAAAGTATGTATACAGTACCAGTCAAAAGTTTGGACACACCTACTCATTCAAGGGTTTTTCTTTAATTTTACTATTGTCTACATAGAATAATAGTGAAGACATCAAAACTATGAAATAACACATATGGAATCATGTAGTAACCAAAAAAGTGTTAAACAAATCAAAATATATTTTATATTTGAGATTCTTCAAAGTAGCCACCCTTTGCCTTGATGACAGCTTTGCACACTCTTGGCATTCGCTCAACCAGCTTCATGAGGTAGTAACCTGGAATGCATTTCAATTAACAGGTGTGCCTTCTTAAAAGTTAATATGTGGAATTTCTTTCCTTCTTAATGCTTTTGAGCCAGAGCATGTGAGCGGAGTGGAGCGGGAGCGAGCGGGGAGCGCGAGCGGACGGATTTTGGACAGAGCACAGAGCGGCATTTTTAAAAGGACAGAGCGTCGCCCTATGTCCCGCTCCAATTTCGCTCTGCTCACACCACGAGTCTGAAGCATGCTCAAGCCTGACCCAGAATCCATCTGTGTCTTGCACAGTCATCAACAGTAGACTATTTTCAGTCAAAACTCGGCTCAATAATGGAGTTCACCAAGTACTTCAAAAAGGAAAATGAGAAGTCATACAGGTGTACTATTAATATAAAACTAACTAACAATGATAATGTGGTTCAAGAAAAAGAATGTGGTGACATCGTTTCAGTCAGTAAAGATTCATTTTGGAATCTAAAAAGACACATCTCTCGAAAACACGAAAGTGTGCTACGTGAACACGCTGGGAAGAAAGCAAAAGGTTAGCAAGTTGAATAGGGTAACTTGTAACAAAAGTGTAAAGTAAATATAGCCTAATATTCAAACAAATTTGTTTTGTCATTCAAAGTAGGCCTAATATATGGTTTGTTTAATTTAATTTGTGTCGTCCATGAATTTGTATTTTATAGAGCAAGAGGAGCAGCAGCAGCAACAAGAGAAAAGGGTTGAGGAATTCAAAAGTTTCTTCACTGCACGCAAAGGCCCAACCATAACAAGGGAGAGAAAAAGAGAGCTGGATGTAGCATTTTTTAAAATGATTTACATGGACTATGAACCACTGAGTAAAGGAGAACGCGAAGGGATGCAACACTTCGCCAGCGCAGCTCAACCGGGCTACACCCCCCCATGCTACAACACCGTACGGGACACACTCATGCCACATGCCCTGGAAGAGATGGAAGCCAAACTGCAAGACCTACTGCAAAATGGTGATGGGCTCGTTCTGTCTGCGGACATTTGGACCAGTAGAAGAGGGCACAGCTTCCTTGGCATCGTGGCCAGTTTCATTGATGGGACGTTCCGGGGGCACACGGTTTTGTTGGGCTGTGAGCACATACAGGGGCACCATACCGCAGATCGTATTTACCAAAAGTATGAAAGTGTACTGAAATATTGGAACGTGCAACGACGTGTGATTCGGGTCGTCACTGACAGTGCCAGCAACATGATCAAGGCATTTAACCTCCTCCCTGGCACTGAAGAGGAGGCGGAGGGTGAAGTGACCGCGGATGCCAGCAGCAGTGCAGAACATGAAGAGGAGGATGAGGGACCACCTGCGCCCTCGCAAGTCCATGTGGAAGTGATAACCTCTAATGTAGAAACTATGATAAATCAGTACTTTACTGTGTCAAATTTACATCTGAGATGCCCCATTCACATGCTTCAGCTGGCGATCAAAGACGCCATTAACGAGCACGACAACATTAATAGGCTGTTAGTGAAAGTCGGGCACCTGGTGAAAAGTGTACGCAAGAGCACCCTGAACACAGAGGAAACCGACCAATTAGGTGTCCGCCCCACAAATGCCTGCGCCACTCGATGGAGCAGCCAGCTGCGGATGATTCAGTCGTTAATCCGGTTGTTCCAAAAAGACCCGTTATGGCAAAACAAACTCAAGTCTAATGTTGCTAACATCACCCTGAATCAAGTACAGCAGCTGACGCACCTTGTCAGTGTGCTGACACCACTAGCAGACCTCACAGACAAAATGCAGAAGGAGCTGGGGAACCTGGGGATGATCCTCCCTGCTGTCACAGAAATCAAATCCCTGCTCACCGATTACACTCACGCTGCACTTCCAATGGGCATCGCTGCTTTTGCAGAAACATTGGCAAACAACGTGTCAATTCGTTATGGAATATACTATACTGATAAACATCTCATTTTAGCATCAGTGTTAGATCCCCGTTTCAAGACAGAATGGATAATCCGAGATGAGTCTGTATGCAACAAACTCGGGGAGATCCACAACCTCCTCATAAAAGAAGTTGAGGAAATGAATGCTCCCAGCGGGACACACGAGACAGACACCCCACCCGCCGCTGACCTGAATCCCGAGCCTGAACCAAAAAGAGCTCGCCTGTTCGGGTCATACTTCAGCGAGCAGCTACGCATAACCGGAGACGCCAAAGGTGAAGTCGAAAATTACCTCTCATCCCTGAGACAGAACCCAGACGCAGATGTTATTCGATTTTGGAAAGAAAACTCCACGTCTTTTCCCCGCCTGGCTAAAGTAGCTCGCATTGTGTTCAGCATCCCAAGCGGGTCTGCGAGCGCAGAGAGGGTTTTCTCCGCTGCTGGCCTGCTGTCAAGAAACCACCGCATGAGTCTGAAGCCTCAGACTTTGGCCAAACTTGTGTTCTTGAAGGTGAACTCAAAAGAACTGTAGATAAGGAAAGCAATTCATTTTTTTACATTTTATTTTAAAGTTTGACAATGGATATAAGACAATTTTAATTTTAATCCACGTGCAAGCTGCGCAAAAGTTCAGTTATCAGAATTTTGGCCTAATAGTTAATTTACTTTTAAAACTTTGATGTATAGCCTGTATATTTTTATTTATATAATTAGGCCCATTGATTCGTTTAATTTTACAGGACTTTTTGTGTATATTCCTTCTTACATAGGCTAGGCCTAATTTGTAATTTGAAATAAAACATTTCTATTTGGAAAATGTTGTCGTTGCTCTTTAGTTCTTTGGGAGGTAAGGCTGTGGTTTAGGCTAAAAGTGAAATACATGCAGATTTTTTTCCTTTTTTGGAGCGAGCGAGCGGGCGATTTGAGTGGAGCGCGATGCAAACTTCGTTGAGCGCTGAGCGATAATGAGCGGACTGGCCTGATGTGGCTTTGAGCGGGGGGAGCGGAGGGGTGAACAGCTCCGTGAGCGAGGAGCTGAGATTCTCACCGCTACACTCCGCTCATATGCTCTGTTTTGAGCCAATCAGTTGTGATGTGACAAGGTAGGGGTGGTATACAGAAGATAGCCCTATTTGGTAAAAGACCAAGTCCATATTATGACAAGAACAGCTCAAATAAGCAAAGGGAAACGACAGTCCATCATTACTTTAAGACATGAAGGTCAGTCAATACGGAACATTTCAAGGACTTTGAAAACCATCAAGCGCTATGATGAAACTGGCTCTCATGAGGACCGCCACAGGAAAGGAAGACCCAGAGTTACCTCTGCTGCAGAGGATAAGTTTATTAGAGTTACCAGCCTCAGAAATTGCAGGCCAGATAAATGCTTCACAGAGTTCAAGTAACAGACACATCTCAACATCAACTATTCAGAGGAGACAGCGTGAATCAGGCCTTCATGGTCGAATTGCTGCAAAGAAACCACTACTAAAGGACACCAATAAGAAGAAGAGACTTGCTTGCACCAAGAAACACGAGAAATGGACATTAGACCGGTGGAAATCTGTCCTTTGGTCTGATGAGTCCAAATGTGAGATTTTTGGTTCCAACCGCCGTGGCTTTGTGAGACACATAGTAGGTGAACGGATGATCTCCGCATGTGTGGTTCCCACCGTGAAGCATGGAGATGGTTTGGGATGAGTTGGACCGCAGAGTGAAGGAAAAGCAGCCAACAAGTGCTCAGCATATGTGGGAACTCCTTCAAGACTGTTGGAAAAGCATTCCAGGTGAAGCTGGTTGAGAGAATGCCACCCTTTGCCTTGATGACAGCTTTGCACACTCTTGGCATTCTCTCAACCAGCTCATGAGGAATGCTTTTGCAACAATCTTGAAGGAGTTCCATATGTTGAGCAAAAGTCAAGGGGTCTGAATAATTTCCGAATGCACTGTATATAAACAATATCTAAAGAAATACACACACTCTCTCTCGCTCTCACACACCCCTAGATTATATGCAGTATATGCAAATTCAATGGAGACTGGAGAGTGAGTCATTTTACAGTGTTCTCTCTCTTTCTCATATCTTGAACATGTTCAAATCTTAATAATTGTCTGGACCAATACAGTGCCTTCAGAAAGTATTCATACCCCTTCACTTATTCCACATTTTGTTGTGTTACAGCCTGAATTCAAAATGGATTAAATTTATTATAAAAATAAAGTTCTCTCAAGTTGGTTGTTGATCATTGCTAGACAGCCACTTTCAAGTCTTGCCATAGATTTTCAAGCCGATTTCAGTCAAAACTGTAACTAAGCCACTCAGGAACATTCAATAACGTCTTGATAAGCAACTCCAGTGTATATTTGTCTCCCAGTGTCTGTTGAAAAGCAGACAACCAGGTTTTCCTCTAGGATTTTGCCTATGCTTAGCTCTATTCCGTTTCTTTTTATCCTAAAAAAACTCCATAGTCCTTGCCGATGACAAGCATACCCATAACATGATGCAGCCACCACCATGCTTGAAAATATGAAGAGTGGTACTCAGGGATGTGTTGGATTTGCCCCAAACATAACACTTTATATTCAGGACATAAAGTTCATTTCTTTGCAATTTTCTTTGCAGTTTTACTTTAGTGCCTGGTTGCAAACAGGATGCATGTTTTGGAATATTTTAATTCTGTACAGGTTTCCTGCTTTTCACTCTGACATTTAGGTTAGTATTGTGGAGTAACTACATACAATGTTGTTGATCCATCCTCTGTTTTCTCCTATCACAGCCATTAAACTCTAACTTTTTTTAAGTCAACATTGGCGAAATCCCAGAGAGGTTTCCTTCCTCTCCGGCAACTGAGTTAGGAAGGACACCTGTATCTTTGTAGTGACTAGGTGTATTGATACACCATCCAAAGTGTAATTAATAACTTCATCATGCTCAAAGGGATATTAAATGTCTGCTTTTCATTTTTTATTAATTTGTTCCATTTTCGAAAAACATAATTCCACTTTGAAATTATGGGGTATTGTGTGTAGGCCAGTGACACAAAATCTCAAATTCAGTCTGTATAACAACAAAATGTGGACAAAGTCAAGGGGTGTGAATACTTTCTGAAGGCACTGTATTAAAACAATATCTAAAGAAATCCACACGTTTAAGATCTGAGAAAGAGGGAAAACGCTGTAAAATGACTCACTCTCCAGTCTCCATTGACTTGCAATGGATTTGCTTATACTTCATGGACTCTAGGGTTGGGTGTGTGAAAGAGAATGTGTGTTGATTTCTTTATATATATATATATATATATATATATATATATATATATATATATATAGATATATATAGATATATATATATATATATATATATATATAGTGGGGAGAACAAGTATTTGATACACTGCCGATTTTGCAGGTTTTCCTACTTACAAAGCATGTAGAGGTCTGTAATTTTTATCATACGTACACTTCAACTGTGAGAGACAGAATCTAAAACAAAAATCCAGAAAATCACATTGTATGATTTTTAAGTAATTAATTTGCATTTTATTGCATGACATAAGTATTTGATCACCTACCAACCAGTAAGAATTCCGGCTCTCACAGACCTGTTAGTTTTTCTTTAAGAAGCCCTCCTGTTCTCCACTCATTACCTGTATTAACTGCACATGTTTGAACTCGTTACCTGTATAAAAGACACCTGTCCACACACTCAATCAAACAGACTCCAACCTCTCCACAATGGCCAAGACCAGAGAGCTGTGTAAGGACATCAGGGATAAAATTGTAGACCTGCACAAGGCTGGGATGGGCTACAGGACAATAGGCAAGCAGCTTGGTGAGAAGGCTACAACTGTTGGTGCAATTATTAGAAAATGGAAGAAGTTCAAGATGACGGTCAATCACCCTCGGTCTGGGGCTCCATGCAAGATCTCACCTCGTGGGGCATCAATGATCATGAGGAAGGTGAGGGATCAGCCCAGAACTACACGGCAGGACCTGGTCAATGACCTGAAGAGAGCTGGGACCACAGTCTCAAAGAAAACCATTAGTAACACACTATGCCGTCATGGATTAAAATCCTGCAGCGCACGCAAGGTCCCGCTGCTCAAGCCAGCGTATGTCCAGGCCCGTCTGAAGTTTGCCAATGACCATCTGGATGATCCAGAGGAGGAATGGGAGAAGGTCATGTGGTCTGATGAGACAAAAATAGAGCTTTTTGGTCTAAACTCCACTCACCGTGTTTGGAGGAAGAAGAAGGATGAGTACAACCCCAAGAACACCATCCCAACCGTGAAGCATGGAGGTGGAAACATCATTCTTTGGGGATGCTTTTCCGCAAAGGGGACAGGACGACTGCACCGTATTGAAGGGAGGATGGATGGGGCCATGTATCGCGAGATCTTGGCCAACAACCTCCTTCCCTCAGTAAGAGCGTTGAAGATGGGTCGTGGCTGGGTCTTCCAGCATGACAACGACCCGAAACACACAGCCAGGGCAACTAAGGAGTGGCTCCATAAGAAGCATCTCAAGGTCCTGGAGTGGCCTAGCCAGTCTCCAGACCTGAACCCAATAGAAAATATTTGGAGGGAGCTGAAAGTCCGTACTGCCCAGCGACAGCCCCGAAACCTGAAGGATCTGTATGGAGGAGTGGGCCAAAATCCCTGCTGCAGTGTGTGCAAACCTGGTCAAGACCTACAGGAAATGTATGATCTCTGTAATTGCAAACAAAGGTTTCTGTACCAGATATTAAGTTCTGCTTTTCTGATGTATAAAATACTTATGTCATGCAATAAAATGTAAATTAATTACTTAAAAATCATACAATGTGATTTTCTGGATTTTTGTATTAGATTCCGTCTCTCACAGTTGAAGTGTACCTATGATAAAAAATACAGACCTCTACATGCTTTGTAAGTAGGAAAACCTGCAAAATCGGCAGTGTATCAAATACTTGTTCTCCCCACTGTATATATATATATAATTTGAACATGTATTCACATGACCTGATTCATGAAATGTGTCCAAAGACTAAATATAGTACGATACAGAAATGGCTGTAGTTCACAAATGACAATGAGTTGAATAGAACAGGTCAAATAACAATACTATATGCTTTTAAACAATTTAATTCTGAAATGTATTTCAAAATACATATGCTGAAGTATGATAGATAATGACAATCTTAAAATCTTCAATGTGGCCTGTCTAGACACTTGTACTAACTATGTCGACACCAAATGTCATGGATTTACACCATACAGAATGTGTCCTGTGGTGCATTTTGATATTGTACTAAATATACTACAAGGACGTGAATGGGTTTAAGGTCACTGCCAAGCGAGAGAGACAACACCGCACTAACTGGTGTGAAGGACCAGTGTGTTATGCAGCAAAGTGTTATCTGATAGAAGTGGGTGGGCTTTGTGACGGGTTCATTCTGGGACTGGCATTGTGGCTGAACCCTCTAAGGCCTGGAGCAGTGCTCACTACAGCCAGGAGAGGAGAGGCCTCGTCCTGACTGGACCTTCCTCGCTTCTGCCCTTTTCTCTCAGACCAGGGGTCTTCAACCTTTTCTTGCCCAGGGATCTCCGCCCAGGCAAACCGAAGACCCATGGACCCCCATCATATGTTCACGTCTTGTCTTGTCATTAGGTGAATGATAATGGCAGGGAGAAGTAATCAACATTTTAAATGATTCGATTTGGCAGACAGTTTTTTTTTTTATTTTTAACCTCCCAACATTATAATTGGAAGAGGAAGTGTAAACACTAGCATAGCTTATTATCTGAAATATGTAACTCCAAACACATTTTTGCTAATAGCAGCTGTTTAGCTGGTTAAACAAAGGTTATCCATGTGTTGCCAAAAATGTACTGTACGAGGAGAGGAGGATGAGAGAGCACCAACATCACCTATTCACTCATTTGTCAGCTGCAGACTAGCCAATGGAGTTGGTAGGGGAGGGGGGCGTAGAGTTAGGTATTATATTACAGTCCTAACTATCCAAGGCCATGCCAGGCCAGGTAGATGACGATAAGTCCATGATGAGTGCTGAACTGAACTAAACCCTTGTCTTCCCTGGCTGGCAGACAGCTGGCTGTAGATTGATCATGGGACTGCAGGGCACAGGGGTGACGGAGGGGGCTGCGGCAGTGAAACATTAGATTCTGATTACATCTGAGAGGACAGACAGACTGAATCCTGCTGTGGTATTCACCACACAGCCTGAAGTCACAGTTTATCACCATATCAAACACTTCAGACTGTCAGAGCAGTAGGAGTGAAGCTGAGCTGTGTGTTTAGGTGTGTTTGTGTGTCCAGATGGCTTCCAAATGGTCTCAATTGGAGAGTGGGAGGAAGGGGCATATGAAATATGATCATGAGAGACGTGAAGACTGGAAGTTCTCAAACTCTTGTGGGGGTGACAAGATAAATGTGCTACCATGTCAGAAATAGTACAGCATCAGCATAGCAGCCTTTAGGGGTGGGGAGAAGGTGGTGCAGGGTCACACACACACACACACACACACAGGGCTAGCATCAACACCAGATGACATCTAGCTCACCACATGCTCCATCGCCTGGGTAGACCTGGATAGAGCAATCAGTATATGCAGGTCATTAGTCAACATATCCAGCCACCACAGGGTGTCTCCCTATCAGGCCCCAACACCATCCCCTAACATCTCACTCTATCTGGGGTTCACTTAAGGCCTGTTGGGAGGCCCCCTCCAGCCCTGGACGTACTACCCCAAATGAAGAACAGTGCTTGCTCTTTCGCATGGCACAGAGTTGGAAAGATAAGAGGAGACAGAGGGATGGAAGGATGGATGGATTGAGAGATAGAGCTCGTCCTCTGTCCTCCAACTCAAACCCCTTTTGATTCCTCTGATCAGTATCATAATCCACCGCCAAGAAGGAGGCTAATGAAGACCAGAGAGAGAGTAAGCTGACTGAGCATCTCTCATCTCCCATTCAGTCCTGCATTCTTCCATCCTCTGACCCACCAGGAATTTTAACCTTGTTATTTAAAGAGCCATTTATTTTGACAGTTGCCTGCAGCAGTGTGTGGTATCAACACACACAAATGCAGGCACGCACACAGACGGACACACCCAGAAAGCGATCACAGCCAGGATCAGAGTAAATGCTGATACACCTCTTATCAAGGTCTTCTGAGGCTTTTTTAGGAAAACAGAGGGTGTCAGTCACTCAGACAGGCCAGATAAAGCCTCCATCTCCCGGAGTGTCAGAGCCCATATGTAGTGCAGGAATGTTGCAGCTCGTGTGTTAACCAGCACCAACTACAGCCCTCCTCTAGCCTTTTGCCAAATGCCAGAGTTGACAGGTAGGCTGTGGCCGGTGTGTTTGATGTATGTAGTGTGTGTGTGTGTGCGTGTGTGCATATGCGTGTGTGTGTGTGTGTGTGTGTGCCTTACAGCCACAGCGCTGTGTATTGCTTGTCTGAAGGGCCCCGGACATCAAACAGCCAGTTGGTCAGCTGAGTCAACAGCGACAGAGGCATAACCTGGCCGTAACCCTGGAGATCAATGGCAGAGTGTGGGTGAGAGGGTGAAAGGGCCACGGTGGGCCGTGGTGGTGGGCTCTACTCCACACCCTTTGATCCCACACAGATGAGAGGTGGGGTGGGCAGACTGAGGGAGAGAGAGATACTAACAGAGACAGCACTCATGCACAGAGAGGGGAGACCCAGGTTAAGACACACACAATGCTCCCCTCTTTCGAAACCAATAACTCACTGGGATCATTGTGAAAGGATCGGTCTAAGCTACAGTACACAGAGAAAGCAGCGGTGGCTGAGCTGATCTGAAGGAGATAGAACATGATTTATTAGCTGAGGTGAACTCTAAAAGGCCTTGGAATGTTTCATTGAAGGGAAGTATCAGCCAAAAGGCCTTTTCAATGGGAACATTGTGCTGTAGTGTGTGTGTGTGTGTGTGTGTGTGTGTGTGTGTGTGTGTGTGTGTGTGTGTGTGTGTAGATCTTAATCATCTGATTGACTGAGGTGCTGGTAAGTAGTCAGTTTAGTTCAGTGGTAAAGAACACAGCATACAGATATAAAAAGGCTGAGAGAGAGAGGGGGACAACTAACTGAGGTGTGTAGGTGAACAACAACAAGAAACTGTTGGAGCAGTCTCCTCTGACTGCCTCTACACTAATATCCTACAGACAGGGTGTCCATGCTGACAGCCACGCACGCACGCACGCACACACACATACACGTGAATACATGAGCACACACATTCATAGTCAAACACACTCATACACGCACACATACAGTGCCTTCAGACAATATTCATAACCCTCAACTTATTCCACATTTTGTTGTGTTACAGCCTGAATTCAAAATGGATTAAATAGATATGTTTTTCCTTGCTCATTTACACACAATACCCCATAATGACAGAGTGAAAACATATTTTTAGAAATGTTTGCACATTTACAGAAATATCTCATTCACATAAGTATTCACACCCCTGAGTCAATACATGTTAGAATCACATTTGGCAGCGATTGTACAATATTTGCCCATTATTGTCTTCAAAATTATTCAAGCTCTGTCAAATTGGTTGTTCTTTTTTATCCTGAAAAACTCCCCAGTCCTTAACGATTACAAGCATACCCATAACATCATGCAGCCACCACTATGCTTGAAAATATGGAAAGTGGTACTAAGTAATGTGTTGTATTGGATTTGCCCCAAAGATAACACTTTGTATTCAGGACATCAAGTTCATTTCCTTGCAGTACTACATTAGTGCCATGTTGCAAACAGGATGCATGTTTTGTTTATTCTGTACAGGCTTCCTTTTCACTCTATCAATTGGCTTAGTATTGTGGAGTAACTACAATGCTGTTGAGCTATCTTCAGTTTTCTCCTATCACAGCCATTCAATTCTGTAACTGTTAAAGTCACCATTGGCCTCATGGTGAAATCCCTGAGCGGTTTCCTTCCTTTAAGGCAACGGAGTTAGGAAGGACGCCTGTATCTTTGTAGTGACTGGGTGTATTGATACACTATCCAAAGTGTAATGAATAATTCCACCATGCTCAAAGGGATATTCAATGTCTGCTTTTTTATTTATTTTTACCCATCTACCAATATGTGCCCTTCTTTGCGATGCATTGGAAAACCTCCCTGTTCTTTGTGGTTGAACCGGTGTTTGAAATTCACTGCTCGACTGAGGGACCTTACAGATAATTGTATGTGTGGGGTACAGAGATGAGGTAGTCACTCAAAAATCATGTTAAACACGCTTATTTTAGCACACAGAGTCCATGCAACTTATTACAGTGAGGGAAAAAAGTATTTGATCCCCTGCTGATTTTGTACGTTTGCCCACTGACAAAGACATGATCAGTCTATAATTTTAATGGTAGGTTTATTTGAACAGTGAGAGACAGAATAACAACAAAAACATCCATAAAAACGCATGTCAAAAATGTTATAAAATGATTTGCATTTTAATGAGGGAAATAAGTATTTGACCCCTCTGCAAAACATGACAAGAACCCTTGTTGGCAATCACAGAGGTCAGACGTTTCATGTAGTTGGCCACCAGGTTTGCACACATCTCAGGAGGGATTTTGTTCCACTCCTCTTTGCAGATCTTCTCCAAGTCATTAAGGTTTCGAGGCTGATGTTTGGCAACTCGAACCTTCAGCTCCCTCCACATATTTTCTATGGGATTAAGGTCTGGAGACTGGCTAGGCCACTCCAGGACCTTAATGTGCTTCTTCTTGAGCCACTCCTTTGTTGCCTTGGCCGTGTGTTTTGGGTCATTGTCATGCTGGAATACCCCTCCACGACCCATTTTCAATGCCCTGGCTGAGGGAAGGAGGTTCTCACCCAAGATTTGACGGTACACCATCGTCCCTTTGATGCGGTGAAGTTGTCCTGTCCCCTTAGCAGAAAAACACCACCAAAGCATAATGTTTCCACCTACATGTTTGACAGTGGGGATGGTGTTCTTGGGGTCATAGGCAGCATTCCTCCTCCTCCAAACACGGCGAGTTGAGTTGATGCCAAAGAGCTCGATTTTGGTCTCATCTGACCACAACACTTTCACCCAGTTCTCCTCTGAATCATTCAGATGTTAATTGGCAAACTTCAGACGGCCCTGTATATGTGCTTTCTTGATCAGGGGGACCTTGCGGGCGCTGCAGGATTTCAGTCCTTCACGGCGTAGTGTGTTACCAATTGTTTTCTTGGTGACTATGGTCCCAGCTGCCTTGAGATCATTGACAAGATCCTCCCGTGTAGTTCTGGGCTGATTCCTCACCGTTCTCATGATCATTGCAACTCCACGAGGTGAGATCTTGCATGGAGCCCCAGGCCGAGGGAGATTGACAGTTCTTTTGTGTTTCTTCCATTTGCGAATAATCGCACCAACTGTTGTCACCTTCTCACCAAGCAGCTTGGCGATGGTCTTGTAGCCCATTCCAGCCTTGTGTAGGTCTACAATCTTGTCCCTGACATCCTTGGAGAGCTCTTTGGTCTTGGACGTGGTGGAGAGTTTGGAATCTGATTGATTGATTGCTTCTGTGGACAGGTGTCTTTTATACAGGTAACAAACTGAGATTAGGAGCACTCCCTTTAAGAGTGTGCTCCTAATCTCAGCTCGTTACCTGTATAAAAGACACCTGGGAGCCAGAAATCTTTCTGATTGAGAGGGGGTCAAATACTTATTTCCCTCATTAAAATGCAAATCAATTTATAACATTTCTGACATGCGTTTTTCTGGATTTTTTGTTGTTGTACAACAAAATCAGCAGGGGATCAAATGCTTTTTTCCCTCACTGTATGTGACTTGTTAAGCACATTTTTACTCCTGAACTTATTTAGTCTTGCCATAACAAAAGGGGTTGAATACATATTGACTCAAGACATTTCAGCTTTCATTTTTAAGGAATTTGTTACATTTTCCAAAAACATAATTCCACATTGACATTATTGGGTATTATGTGTAGGCCAGCAACAAAAATCTCAATGTAATCCATTTAAAATTCAGGCTGTAACAAAACAAAATGTGGAAAAGGTCAAGGGGTGTGAATACTTTCTGAAGGCACTGTAGGAACACACATGCACACACACTGTAAAGAATGCTGTGGAGGAAAGGGGGGGGGGGCTAAATCCTATGTGCTTTTAACGTAACAGTGTAGCCTATACCTTGAGCCCCAAAACATGAAGGTGTCAGAGCTCCAGGGCTTTTTTAACAGGAGCTTTTGAAGCATATGTTTACAATAAACACAACATTTAAAACCTAGGATTACCGCTCCGTTTGCACAGCTGTTTGGAAGCCAATTCCAACATTTGTAAATATGCTTTCTTTCTATTGGTTTTGATTTGACTCAAGGGTGGAAACAAAGTTTTTTTGGGGGGTTAAACATTTCCCAATGCGATACGCAGGGGTATTCAACTCTTACCCTATGAGGTCCGGAACCTGCTGGTTTTCTGTTCTACCTGATAATTAATTGCACCCGTCTAAATCAGTCCCTGACTATTAAAAAAATGCAGTGGAACTGTCTTTGAAGTCCAGAGTCAGGGTTGGGTAGGTTACTTTGTAATCCGTTACAGTTACTAGTTACCTATCCAAAATTGTAATCAGTAACGTAACTTTTGGATTACCCAAACTCAGTAATTTAATTGGATTACTTTCAGATTATTTTGCCCTGCTTAAGAGGCATTAGAAGAAGAGAAAAATGAATATTACCAATTGAACCAATGTTAAGAGTTTACATAGCTGGCCATAAATGGATGTTGCATTTTACTTTATGGGTTGGTTATGTAGGCTTTCTATAACCCATTGCTTTCTACTACAGATAATAATATGATCTTTCCACTCATTCCAATTAATTTAATACATCTTGATCTTCAAGTTAGGACTTGGAAAATATGGAAATATAGATTAGCCAAATTGTTTTACCTGAGCATAAGGACTAATTAGCCTACTCTGTTGTTTATGATTTTGTTGTCATGGAGGACTGATTGGGCTCATTTCTTTGAGCACTACCGAAAAGCGCTCTTTGCATTTAAAAAATGTACGCCATACGCTGCATTTGCTAAAGAGGCCTATTGTTTACGTTTTTATTGGTGACACTTTGATATCTTGATAATTTGCAGCTGTTTAAGTCTATAAAAAGTGTGTGTCCGTTAGACCTATGGAAATTATTTTTGAGCAATAAAAGCCCCACTCATGGTCTTCTTAAATTAAACTTGTTTTTGACAGTATGGAGCACAATACCACGGGTGAGTTTAGAAGGGAGGAACTCGCTGAAACTTTAATTCCATAGGCTGGGATCCGCACTATGCAGCTGTTGAAAGAGCGCATTTTATACTGGCTGACCACTGGGGCATATTCATTACCCCGATTCTGTTGCAAAACCTTTCTTAAACGGAAGCAAACGGAACGAAACGGAGAGAGACCTAGCTGAATTTGTCCAAGAGAAACTCTCGTTTTACTCTGTTTTCTTCTTAAACAGTAAACGGTTTCCTTAATGAATATACCCCTGGTCGCAAAAACAATGATTGACAGGCAGCTTAAACTTCTTCAATTAAACCATTATTGGGGTAAAATACACATATATAGTTGTGAACAGCCATCCACATTCACAAAATCCACAATCCGTAAGGCGCAAATGGCTAAATGAGGGAGCAGCAGTCTGAATCACATCAATGCACAATGTAGCCTAGATATCAATAATAAGTGATATCCGTATCGCCCGTAGGCTACACCACTGCTGTCGTCCTTACCTTCCATTGGAAGACATAGCTTGGACTACAAAAGCCTATTCCTGCTTTTTTCCCGCGATCCATCAAACGCATCATCATAGTGGTCTCTGACTTGTAATCAGACTCGCTCAGGTGGAACAAATTTAAACACGCGCCTTTTTTCAAAGCTGATTTCAATGTCATTGAGAAAACAGAAAGGTGTTAAATAGTTTTTTTCACTAAAACATCCATTATGAATTTAAAAGTCATCCTAGAAGTAATCATCTAGTTTTTCAAAATATCTGTAATCTGTTTACAATATCTTTCCTTTTAATGTAACGGATTACAACTATTTAAAAAAAATCAGTTACATGTAACAGATTAGATGTAATCCGTTACTCCCCAACCCTGTCCAGAGTTGAGTTTGAGGGCGATAGAGGGCGATAGCTTAATCTGTCCAAATACATGATATGATAACTGCCTGAGGGTCTAATTACATATTTATAAGGATCTGTGTAATACACTTTACACAATCTGCTGAGTATTTAGCCTAGTGCTAGCTTGGTGCCGTCCACAGATTATTATTGGTGGATGATCCCAGGTGGTTGTTTTGGCTGACTACAGGAGTAGCTGCTGGTGCTGCTCATCTGGAGGAGCACAATCATCTTTGGTCAAAAATAAAATAAAAACATTTCTCATAGCCAGGTCTAATCTGACGAACTGATCTTCATAGTAAGCACATAAGCACATGATATTGGCACAACATAGATAATGGGTTTGCAGGAGGATGAGTTGTGGATGAGCAGAGATCAGTGGAGGATCTGTATGTGGCTGGCTGACTCACCCGCTCGGTGCAGGCCGCTGTCGTCCTCAGCTTCTCCTCGATCTCCTTCCCGATCTTCTGCACCGTCACCTGGGTCTGCTTGATGGCTCTCTGGGCTGTGTGGAGCCTAGAAAGTACAGGGAGGAAGAACATAAGGATATTAACCAACAGCTCAAAAGGCTCTTTACCTCAGGAACTAAACAGACATGTGCTGTATAATAGAGGATGCTTGTAATTTATGTGATGCTGACAGATTTACAGTAAAACTGCAGGAGAGTAAATAAATAACTACACAGAAGAACAGAGGACAGACTCTCCTCTCCGGACAGTGTAACGTCAGCCATCTTGTTAGCTGCGCTATTTGTTAATGTTATATAGGTTTGTTTGGAGGAAAGAGGGAGTTTGTTTCCCTCATTGTTTAAAGTGGTTATTGAGAACATCGAAAGAACAAAGTTCATTATAATTACTCTTAAGATGTATTCCTATAGACTCAGGAGACGTATCAAGTTTTCAAATACCCAAGAACCACAAATAACCCACCAGTATTTTAATCACTTTTATTTTCTAATATATCTAACCACAATTTAAGGCTTGAATGTTGCCCTATGGACCTAAACCTATTAAATCCAGACCACTGAGAGAAACCTCAACGGCCATTTAATAAACCCGCACCACAAACATGGAAGACATTCCCAAAACCTTTGGGTACTGAAGTCATTCATTCATTGTCCTCTCTGGAGAGGGAACAATAACAACAATACCAAAAGACAAGCCAGAACATTATTGCAGCTATCAATCACAGACTTGATTAACTCTCCAAGTATGCTTTCAACAGCTCCAGGCCTCATGGGGAGGGAGGGAGAGAGGGAGGGAGACTGAGCTGCTCCCCACAACAGAGCTGCCCCAGGGACATGGACTAATAGGAACAGACAACCATCACACCAGGCTGAGATATGAGGGTCCTCCTCACACGCAGGAGGAGGGCAGCCATTAGCAATAATATTGTCAGAGAGACTCGAGATCATCCTTGTTTTGTCTAATTTACAGACACGCTCAACGGGAGGTAAGCGTTAGATGTGGCGGTGTGGCTGGCAGTTCCTGACCCATTCTCTCTCATCTAAAGTATGAATGGTTCTACCATCTGGTCTGGTCCGGGGGCTGGTCTCCCGATGGAGCGATGTGGTTATCTTTCAGCCCCCCTGCCCCAACCCACCATTCTTCCAGTCACATCATTCCACCTCTTTCAGGAGCAGGCTGTTCCTCACATCTCCATCCTAAAATCCCTCCTTCTGTCTGTTGTTCGCTACTAGTGAACCCTGAGGATTATCATATTCTTACACACTCCAGGACTAACCTAAATTCCGCCTGACCTGTATTTAATAGTAATATCACAGCACTTCTTAACCCAGATAATGCTAAGGCAGATTCCCGCCCCAAACCACTATGCATAGTCTTGTCAATCAATGCGCCAAAACCAGTGCAGAGTAATTCAGCTTTTGGCTGAATCAGTGGACTTGGTGGAAGCCACAAAGACTCTTTTAAGGGCCCAGGATTGTGGATAATCCTGTATGGGTGCAAAAACACTTTTTTCATACTCCACCTCTGGGGCCTTTTAAACTGTCATCAGGGGCCAGGTAAACTGAGGGTTGGTGGTTTCCCCTTCCTCTAGCACTTATAACATAAGGGGAATATTCAACCACATCTTTCTTCTAAATTTCCTACTATGCTTCTTTCTTAAAAATCCTCAATCATTCCCAACACCTCACTTCGGAGCACGAAAATAATCCTTTTGGTCTTCCCCAACTTACCACAATCTCAAAATTGATCAAAATAATTAACAAAAATGGTCTCTGTGACTACGGACATTTTCTTCACTACGTGACTGCAACCACCTGGGTCCACACACACCTCTCTCAGTAAAGGTTACATTAAGCAGGGTGGCGTGGAGCCACAGCTCTTTCAGATACACGTCCCTCTTTTCACTCACGTATCCCATATCCGTTGCTTTCTTTCCTCAATTTTCTCAAATTAGGTAATTAGCTAAATCAGTGAGGCTAAAAACTCCATTCCTCTATCCATGCTGTACAAGGCAGCTAGTTGTCTGCCAATAAGTAATCTAGGCTCCATACAGCATGGGCCTTTTGGAGTCGTGGTGGTGAAGGGGGGGTGCAGCTCATTCCCACTGCTTGCTCTTGAATGTGGCCATGTGTGAGCAGCAGCTCTGGGTATTAGTCCATTAACTATATACTCTCCTCTCATGATACAACAACCACTTGTGGTTGAGTTCATAGTGGTTGCAGTGGGGAATGTGGTCATGGCAGAGTGAGAATGTGGCCTGTGGTCATGGTAGAAGTGGAAGTTGAGAAAAGGGGTATTGCTTAGGTATGCAGTCTCTTTTAGTGGGTTTTATGCCTGACCCTCCATAAAATTGGTTTACACTAATCCAGCTCTCTGAGATATTTCCACAGATCTAGAGTGCCTCCAGCCCCCTCCATGTTTTTTCATTAAAACGCTGTTCCTCAGACACCTCAGGATATTACTGTGTGTGGTAGGAGGACGGAGCCCAGCCCAACACTCATCACTCCTGTATCTTCAGTAAGTGGGGTCAGACACTAACTCCTAATGATTTCACACTTTAAGAAAGGAGGGAGGGAAAAATCTCTACTACAATCATTCACTTTTCTTTCCTTTTCAACCTGCCTGGGAAGACAACGATAGCCGTTGGAGATAGTCCTAGGAAACGTCAGAGCAAAGCCATTTTGACAGCTTTATCAGTCAGAGGTGATTGCGATGGAGGAATCTGATATGGCCACCTCCCCTAGGTGAGTGCTGTTATCTCCCCAGTCCTTCATGCATGTCTGAAACCCTTATCAGCTCTACCAGTCTGAGGCTAGGAGGGCTGGGGCCAGGACCCCTGGATCACAGGGTGGAGGGAGGTGAACAAGTCCCCGGCCTTTATGCCCTCACTGGGGCAGTACAACCAGCAGGCTGGCACCCACCCCTCCAGAAAACACACTGAACCATAACTACTTTCCTTTTCTACAACATGAGGAGGACTAGTGAAAATGACAACTAGGGATTACTTGGAGTTACGATTCAAATAAGTACGCATTTCAGATGTGCTTCAAAAGGACATTCAGTCCTTGATTTAAGATTGATAGGCATCTGAAAATAATAACATCTGTTGGCTTAAAACTCTAAATCAGTAGGTGGGTGAATGCCTGATAAAAGCATGTTAATTCCAACAAGACTGTTGTTGAACTTTCAAATGGAACATTTGCCCTAAACAGACAGCTGCTTGGAAGCCATCTTTAAATAATTATTGTTTGCGATGCTGCGTCTCGCAGAATTAAGGGAGTAAAGAAGTAAGGGTTGATGGATTTACGAGTGGCAAAATCAATTAACATTGTAATAAATACAAAATGGCATTGACTTTCTGACCTTAAAACACATCCAGTACGTAGTAACTCTTTCCAGAGTGGCCTCCCCAAAGCACTGGCTCTGATGGCCTGTACCATTCATGGATTCATTTACCCAACTGATGATCTCCAAATAAATATTTACCATGGTTTATACGTAGTGCAACAGGCCAGCAAACGCAATCTCGCAATCAGTGCAGAGCAACAGCAAAGGCAGATGTATCATCTGGCTTACAGAGATAAAGGTAGGAGAACAACTGGGGGAAAAGAGAGAGAAAGAGAACAAGGGCAATCAGTGAAGAACAAACACCACTGGAAATACAACCCTTATTTATGGATGATTTATTTTCCCTTTTGTACTTCAACTATTTGCACATTTTTACAACACTGTACACATAGCCATAATATACCATTTTAGTGTAATGTTTACTGTTCATTTCTGACTGTTTATTTCACTTTTGTTTTTATCTATTTCACTTGCTTTGGCAATGTAAACATGTTCCCCATGCCAATAAAGCTCTTTGAATTGAATTGAAAGAGAAAGAGAGAGAAAGGGGAAAAGATATCCCATCCTCTGTCCCTCTGAAGAATAGAGTATGGGCACATCGAAACAAAACACATTTCATTGCCTTACATAGCGTTGGGGGTTGAGATCTTGCTCTCCTCAATCACAAAGCAGTTGATGAGATAGCTTAAAGCCTGGGTCCATTCCATTTTTCCACAATGGCTTGCAGCGGTTCTTGGTTTTTGTTCGTTTGCATGCATTTTACATCCCCCCACCCCTCCCACATATCGTTCCAACGCTGTGCTTTTTGTTTTGAGGGACCGCTTGATGTCGCAGGCATGGACATTTTTTGTGGATCTTTTGTGTTGGAGAGAGAAAGCGAGGAAGCGAGGTGCAGTCTGGTGCAGTTGGTATCTAAGAAAACATAATAAGAGGGGGGTAGGGGAGGAGGTTGATAAAACACTTATTTTTCTGTGTGATACGATGGGTTTAATTTCTGAAATGCTCTTTATGTTTTTGGCCCCTTTCCACCTCCGCTTCCTCAGTCTACAGATATAAGTCAGAGACACAGACAGACACAAACACTTTACAGACAGGCCTGGAACATAGGCTGGAAGAGAGACAACTTGATCAGACATATACTTTTACTAAATGGACTAATAGTTCAAAGTAACAGCTTAAAACTACTCATCTGAGCATACTGATTAAATCAATCATCAATTAATTGTGACTGTTTGATGTCACAAATGAAACCAATAGAATACATTCACGCCCTTAGTCATTTATATTTTAGCAAAAAAAAAATAGATATAGATTGTATGTTTTACAGATAATGTAAATATGTAATAGGTACCCAACAAACAACAACATAAAGGAAGGGTGAAAAGAGGCAGAGGGGAGACATAGTTGGAAAACCAAATAAACACCTTCCATTCTGCAGCATACCTGGACCTCAACAGCTTGGCGGAGAATGTCAACACTTTTTACCCTGTCGCTATTCACCTCACATTTCACCATTGTCCCCCCCTATGTACATGGAGGGGGAGATAAGATTGTCCCCCCACAGAAAATATTTTGGTGCGCCTGCATTTGCACCTTCTCTCTGTGGATGGATGGATGGATGGATGTCTCATTATCGACTTCCTCCAAGATGTAAGTCAACAAGCTTGGTTTACAATACATGGCAACTTAAGAGAAAAATGCATGCTGGGAAACCCCGTGAGTGACCCTGAGAAAGGATACTTTAGTCTTCTAAGGTCACAGAGAGGCCAGGCCCCTTGCAGTTGATTATAGACTAGAGGTTCCCACCTCCTCCCCTGCCACCAGAGAAACCCCCCTCACCTCAGCCTAAACCCAAAGTGTCCCTCTAGGTCACTAAAGCTGCCGGGGGTAATGAACCCAACAATAAACAACTAATATC